ATAAGCAAATAATACTGACGCAATATAAAGATCTTACTCCTTATCATGTGTTATCAACTTTGCCAAAAATTCACTTAAAGTTCTATTAAATCGTTCTACAAGGCCATTTATTTGTGGATGATAAGAGGTTGAAAAATTATGTTTGATCTGAAACTTTTCCATCAATCTTATGATCAATTGATTATTAAAATGAGTTTCTCTATCAGATAAGATCTTTTGAGGACATCCATGTCAACATATGATATCTTCATATATAAAATTAGCAACTTGTTTTGCAGTAGCTTTGGATAAAGCTCTAGCCTCAGACCATTTCGTCATATAATCTATTGCTGTTATGATATATCTATTTTTCCTTTCTGTGATAGGTAAAGGTCCTACAATATCGATACCTATTCTATAGAATGGATTTCCTACATCTATTGGGTGTGAAGGTTCAGTTCGTTTGTATTTTCCTCTTCTTTGACAAGAATCACATTTTTGCATGTATTCTCGTATACTTTCATACATTTGAGGCTAATAATATTGCGTTCTAATCTTGTCAAATATACTATCTGTTAATAAATGTCCTCCTAAAGGATCATTATGTGCCATATACAATAAAGCATCTAATTTATTAATTTTTATTATTCTCAATAATTGTTCAGGAGTAATAGTTTTTACTTTATATAAAATATCAAATTTAATAATATAATTCTTTGATTGTTATTTAATTCTTTGTTTTTTTGTTGTTGTTAAATTTGGTGATAATGATTCTGTTTTTAAATAATTAAGAATATAGGTATAATATATGTCATTTATTTTGTTATAGAGCTGTCTATCACACTGTAGACATTTACGCTTTCACTCTAATTATTATTTTAATAAAATTAGTTTTAATATAATGGAACTTCATCAAGAAGTTCTTCAAGTAAATTTGCTAGTAAAATATCATTATTTTGTTGTTATACAACTAGTAGTTCTTCCCAAAACACGTCATTATAAAGATAATTAGGATTCATATCAGATTGTATTTGTCCTAATCCATATCCTACAATACAATCATGGATAACTGTCCCATAAGGTAGATTCTTTTTATAGGCTTTGCAATAAGTATGAATATGATAGTTTTCAGTATCGCAATTAAAGGTATATTGAGATCCTCCTTTCATAATAGGTTGTTCAGCAATAACATGTTTAACTTTAATATATTTACGATAGATATCTTTCAGTTTATTTTTAGGTGATTGATATCCAACAGCTGTAATTAATGGTTCATTTGCAAATTGTTGGTATAATTGTTTCTCAAACCATAATTCTTCAGGGTCAGGTGTTAAACTTTCTTTTATTGAAGAATGCCATTCAATTTCAGATGCTTTATCACAGATAGATACTATAAAAATCTCACAAATATCTTCTTTTTTAGATTGTTCATCATAAATTCTTGACAGGGCATCAGCATTTGCATTGTACTTTCCTGGTCTATGCTGAATAGTATAATTGTAGAGTTGTAATTCCATCATCCATCTAGTACGTCATCCTTTTGGTATTTTGGATGTTTGTAACCATTTTAGTGCTGAATAGTCTGTAATTAATTCAAATTTAGCAGTGCATAGATAATGAAAATGTTGAATAGCCCATACTATCGCTAAACATTCTTGGTCTGTAACTGAATAGTTCTTTTCTGCTGGAGTTAAGCTTCTACTTGCATAAGCAATAGGGTGTTCTCTTCTTTCCTTATCTTTTTGTGCTAATATAGCTCCTAAACCTATCCCTGATGCGTTAGTATATAAATAGAAAGTTTCATCAAAATTTGGATACTGTAGAATTGGTGCATTAATCAAACAATTCTTTAAATGATTAAATGCATTTTGTTGCTTTTCAGTCCATTCAAATATTTGGTCTTTCTTTAGTAATATATTAATAGGTTTTGCAATTCACGAGAAAACTTTATTAAATTTTCTATAATAGGAAAATAATTCTGAACTTGAAATACATCTTTTGGTATTGGTAAATCTTTTACTTTTTCAATTTTAGCTGGATCTGGTTGAATACCATCTCTTCCAACTATATTTCCTAAAAATGTTAAGTTGGGCATGCAAAAACTACATTTCTTCAACTTAATCTTTAAATTAGCTTCTCTTAATGCTTGGAAGACTTGTTTAATATGATTAATATATTATTCAAAAGATTTTAAATAAATTATGATATCATTTAAATATACTGAAACAAATTTAGCTACATATGGTTGTAGAATATAATTCATGAGTCTTTGAAAGATTCCTAGAGCATTATATAATCCAAAAGGCATCATGTTAAATTCATATAACCCAAAATTAGTAATAAAGGCAGTCTTTTCCTTATCCTTTTCTTCTATTTCAACTTGCCAGTAGCCACTAGTTAAATCTAACGTAGTGAACCAATTTGCTGTTCTGAACGATTCTAGCATATTATTGATCCTAGGTAAGGGTAAGCATCCTTCTTTGTGACTGCATTCAGTTTTCTGTAATCAATACATATCCTTTTATCTCCCATTTTCTTTGCTACAATTACAACTGGTAAGGCCTATAGACTCTTTAATTTTCTAACGATTCCTTTCTTTTCCATATCTTCAATTTCTTGATGCAGAAATTGTTGGTTATCTAGACTGCATCTATATGCCATTTGTGCAATTGGTGTATTCTTTTCCAAGATTATTGAATGTTTGATGATGCTGTTCGTCCTGTATCTGTTTGGCTCCCAGCATATTAATTACTATTCTCTTCAAGAATCTGTTGGAAATTATTCTGTTGATAAGCATTTAACGGATCAACTTGTAGCTTAGATTTTTCTTGCCCTTTCTTTGGTAGGTCAGCTAGATATACGCTTGGATATTTATCTTTATGCATCCTTATATGAATTTCTTCTAAGATTCTATCTGCATATTTGGTATAGGTAGGAGTCGTTTCTCCTTGCTCTGCCATATCTGCATATTCTTCAAAATAAAATGGCCACCATTTTCCTTGCTTTTCTGGTTCTGTTTATTCAAAGCTCCAATTTAATACAATTCTAGTAATATATATATCATAGTCATAAAAGTCATCATTAAAAAGATACTCTATATCTTCAGAATTTAGAATGCCTGTTTCTTCATGTATTTCCTTTAATATTGCTTGAAGTGATGTTTCATTAGGTTCCACTTTTCTGCCTGACACTTGCCACATTTTATACATTTCTCTTCATGAATTAATTTTTTGTGACATCATAATATCCTGATAGTCATATATAATATTCATTACATATTTTGGTTAGGCATTATTTTCAACTTCACTTAAAAATATATCATATTCATCTAAGTCCTCTTCCTCATATTTGTCCAAGACTTGATCTAAATTTTCCCTTTTATCCACTATCCCTTCTTCAAAGAGAATGATAAATGTAGCTCTTTTAGTAACATATGAGATAGAAGCAGTTTGTGTACTAAAGTCAAGATTCATTTTGGTCTTTCTACACCAGTCTACTCCTAATAACAATGTATCTTGTGGAGATTCAATCACTTGAAGTTCTACTGGGACCGATATGTGTTATAAAATTATTCTTACTTCAGTAATTTGTCTTAAAGCTCTTATACGACTCCCATTTGTTATAGTCACGATTAATTTAGAGGGTTTATCAATGTTAAGTCCTAAATTTTTAGCTAATTTGTTGGTAATAATACTGATAGCTACTCCTGTATCAATTATAGCTTCAATTGGGTTATTTTTAATTCTGATATATGCTTTACAAGAAGTTGTTTTCCTTCCCTGTTCATCATCTACAAATTCTAAGGAATTAACGTTAGGTGTTAATACAAGATGTCGTCTTAAAGCATTTGCTAAATTCCTTCTTTAAGCTGGTATTTGTAACCACTGTTCTAGAGTTGCAGAGGATTGTTTTGATAGAATATCATCAGCTATATTATATGGTATAAGATTATCAACTCTAGAAGGATTTCGTACTCTTTTGACTGGTTTTTGTTTAGGAGTAGATTCTACTTCTATTTCAATTGGATTAATGACATGAGTCTTAAGATTCATTTCTTTGTTTGATTCAGCAGTTCTGGTCATTTCTCTTTGTCGTGTTCTTGCATTCTTTCTATCAGTAGTATATGGTCAAGACCTTTTTCCTGCATAAACTTCAGATGTTTCTTCTTCCCTTTTATTATCAGTAAAAACTTCAATTAGATTGGCATCTCTTTGCTTTAGTTTAGAAGATCTTTTAGATAAATATTTTCTAGAATAATAGCCTTTTTCATCACATCACTAACAAACTATTTAGCTTTTATCAAAAGGTACTCTATCATTATTATTTCTTGTGGTATTTGTATTTTTAAGTGAAACATTCGTAGTCCTTAGGGTTCCATTCTGTGCTGCTAATACATTAACAATATTTACATAGTTGAGAGAGAGTTGTTCCATTTGTTTCGTCAAAGCTTCAATTGCATCATTATTTGTAACTTGTGGAGATTCTCTCATGTAATACGTTCCAACTTCAGTTGCTTTAGCTTCATTAACAGCTGCTCTTAGATTACCAGAGTCCACCATTGCGACCCTTGCTGCAATGTTAGGTTTTAATCCATTCAAAAATAGTCTAATTTCATAGACATATGGTAAATGATCACCTGGGTCAACTAATCTTTTAAAGTTATTATATCTAGTGCTATAAGTATCTACATTTTCATTTGTCATTTATTTGATATTAGATAACTCATAATGCCATTTATTCTTTTACCTGGCTATAGTAAAGCGAGCTCTAAACATAGAGACAAAGCTTATATTGGCCTGCCCTTGCATATTCCAATAACAAATATTTGTTACTATATTATACCATAATGCTGCTGGTCCTCTTAGATATCCTGCAATAATGCTACGTTTTCTTTCAAGTGTCCAATTATTCGCTGTTGCAGCTGTTTCAAAATGCTTAAGCCATTCTTCTGGATCTTCGCTATTATTTTTCCAAAATGGTTGTACTGGTATGATATTAGTTTCTCTTGGGAATGCTTATGGTCAAGCGTCCCTGATTTCTTTAGCAATTCCCTTAAATGAGTCACTCATTTGTCTAATAATTGCTGCAATACCACTTTTGTCTAATGTTTCATTATTTTCAAATCTATAGCCTTCATTTTCATCTCTCTATTC